GAGCAACAACAAGCTCTGAAAAACTGCGGTGAATGATCATTATGCGTTGGAATTTGGTGAGTCTCCACCCTTATCATTCTCTCTTTGTTGGTGGTTCACATGAAACAAGAAATTGCAGACGCCGACCATAGCAATCTGACATCAAATGGGGCATGTCCTCGTTTTGCAGCAGTTCAGTTGCCCAGTGGCCATGGACAAACTCAGTTCAAGACACATGCTTCATTCCCACTGGATGCCCATTTGGCTCGATCTTGCCGTTCCAATGCGTTTTCCATCCGAAGTGTTCTGAACCCGCCCACCTTTCAGAAGAAAGACTGCAAGCTCGCAGATGCAGCTTTTGCTTGCGAATTTTGCTGAGGTGCTATGTATACCTTCTTGCTACCTCTATTCATTTCTAGACCTTTGCTTTCGCACACGATCAGCTGGCCAGGCTTCAACTTGACAGACGTTTTGCAACATAACTAAACTTTATTTCGCGATGTGTGTTTGTTTCACAACAGTAGGACGCCCCAAGCAATTTACGCTATCGTTTCCTTGGGTTCGCTTTCAAGCCACCCCACAAAGTTCCCGGTTCCCCGAACAAAACATATATAACTAGTCGTTTGAATGGGATGCGAGGTTAAACACAAATTGACCACGGTACCAACACCGTAAACGTCATGATGTGTCCTTTAGTATACCTGATATCCCCTTTCAGACAACCCCATGGGCCCCAAAACACGGGCTTCCTCGGTCCTCGAAATAAGACGTATGAGCGGCCAAAAACAAAACCGGCCTTGGAAGCAACGCAGTGCCCAAAGCCCATTGGCGGTTGGTACCAAAATGGACTAGGCATTTACAGGCCTTACCATGAAGGACTTGCTCAAACCAGGTAGAACCAGCCTGCTACGGGGCACTTTTCAAGCCCCATGTTGGGTGGCCGCACGCCCGAAGACCCCGAAGCTTTTGGCCCTGCCTTCTGCAAGTTGGCGATGAGCTCGCGCAAGGGGCTGCACATGTGCTCCGTGGAGCGCTGAACCTGGCCGAAAAAATCCGGGCGAGTGCTTGGGGCAAACCTGTGAAGCATGGACATCACAGCCCCCATTGGGTCCCCCAAGGACACACTCTTGGGGAAGACTCAAATAGACCAGGTGTGTTTGGGGCGGTGGTGTGTTTGGGGGGCTAGCAGATTTATGAAGGTTCTTCGAACAAAACAAGATCAACAAACATGTATATATATATATATTATATTATATATATACATGATACCATACAGCCTATGGATTCAACAAAGACACATTCATGTGCCGTTCAACAGCCGGTTGGGGGACCAGGGTCTTGTTGTCAAAACAATGCCCCTGGTCTGCCGCTTCATGACATGAAGTGAATTGGAGTCCTTAGATGCGTTTTGTCTTGTTTTTTTAGAAGCCGGAAACCCTCTTTATGGAATTGTTGTCAACCTATATGTTCGCTGCAACTGTTGTGACGATGAGCAACTCACAGTACGCACCAAACACAGGTTTGTTACTTCCTCAGGGGAACTTGCGCGTGTCTTTTCTTTAGGGAACCCACAAATGGTGGTGCTCCTTTTAGTTCCCTTTTGAATCATCCCCCCAAACAAGACACACCCACGTGTCGTTTTCAGCCGTCGCACAGAAAATGATGTGGGAGCAGCAAGGCCCACATCGCAGCCAAATGAACTCCATGGGAAAAAACCTCGGCGAACAAATCGCATCGGCCAATGACAAAGCGCTACGGAATACAACGAAACGTGTTGTTTGCTTTTGTTTCGTGGACATCCATGGAACCAGCTTCCACAAAAAAGGGAAAAGACCATGCAGGGTACCAAGCCTGTTTGGAAATAGTCAATATGCTTCCGACCAGCTGGGAACCCTCTTTTTCGACACGTATGTTTCGGGGGTGTTTTGAAGCAAACACAATGCTTTCCTGAGAATGTGGGTCTGCTTTGGGGAACCCCCCTCGTGGGAATTGTGTTTCAAGGGACCAACCGGACGCCAACCATTTTCGGGGCCCCCGTTTGTGCACCAAACCATGGTTGCTGCCAAGGCAAAGCATAAAAAACCCGTAGAGTGAAGTGGCTCGTCTTGCAGTACCTTCTTTCGGTGTGCGTACATAGTCTGGCTGTACAAGAAGATCTAAGCAGGGAGACGGATCATGGGTGATTTTGTCAGAAACCTCCGTGCGGTAGCCGAGGTCACAACACCAAACGCCTCATAGAGGTGTCTGTTTTTAGCCTATGTTTGTTGGTTTCTCCTTTGGTGTCCCTGTGGAACCATTTAAAAAATGTAGCAGCACCAAACAAGACAGACCAATAGGGGTTGATTCATTTCTTAAATGGTCGCTCCCTGCAATCCTTGAGTGAATCTCAAATGGGGTCATTTCGCAATGGGCTTCCACAATGCCGTATCCTTGCGGCTTTCCTTTAAACACGCAAACCCGAAAGGGCAGCCGCAAAACATACATGACATGTCGGAACTGCACACCATGACGCAGTGCACGCATAACCAATCATGGAACCTGCCCTTAAAAACACTGCAGCTATCAGCCTACAAGCCCGGCAATAGAGGCAGAATGAATATCTAGCTCCAAGGGGGTCGACCGAAAACCAAAGAATCAAGGCACATATCCGCAACCCATTCTTGGCTCGCACTTTCCCTTAGCAACCTTCATCAACCTTCACTTCGGGTTTTGATTGTCAGGTGACAGCCAAAGCCTTCTCAGTTCACCGCTTACAGGTCCATGACCAAACCAAACCCAGCCTCGGTCATCATCTCCTCTTTGTGGACATAGACCTCTAGAGCCTTGTTGCAGGTGTCCTCGATATGCCTCGCTGTTGAGACAGACGTGGGAGGGCGGGGGGGGGGGCCTGCCTCAACTATACTGCGGACCTTGTCGAGCAGGTTACGATTGGGAGGGTTTCACAAAAGTGCCCTTCAAAGGGCTCTTCGAATTTGTGCCTCAAAAAAAATCAGGCAGCATGTTCCGCAGAACCATTCGTCCAAGCTCCGAAGTCACTTTCGGGAATCACGAAAAGGATGTTTGCCTAACTTGCCAAAACCTTTTGCCAAAGCTCCGTGGTACCGGCTATCCAGCCCTGCGCCCCTTTCCGAATTTCTGTCTTACCAATGCCGCAGGTGGCAATTTGGGGGGTGTAGAAGTTGGAAATTGGGGGTCCACTCAAAAACACGTTCTTTCTTTTTTAAAGGGTAGGTCCCCTAAAAAAGAATACCCAATTATCAAGGGTGCTGGTGGGGGTCAAGTTCGCAAGGGGTCTAGAAACAATTGACATCTCAAGCGGCCCCTGTTGGTATAGCCTATTCTTTCTCTGGCGGCACCTTGGGCACCATCCAAAGAGAAACCGACCAGATGAAGTAATTAGTTGGAGGACAACCCGGCGCTTGTTACCTTTCGGGAAAATCGATGGAGTCTTCACCTCTCACTTGACCTAAGCTCGAAAGGTTCGTTGGCTTTTAATTGAGTCGTGCGGCCATCCATTTTTGGATCATAAGGTAGATTTCAATGCAGGGATTCTCCTGTGGTGAAGAAAACCCTGGGTGAAAGCCTACTCCAGACCCCCAGTCAACAAAAGGGCACCTTTTTGTTGGGTCGTTGACTTTAAGGGAAACCCCAACCAAACTTGGGAGAAAGAGCACCACTGGCTTCAATTGTACCTTGAGGCTTGCTCAAAACAAATATCCCCAGGGCGACAAACGGTGTGCGGGGAGTTTTTAGCGGCTTCAGCGCCAACCACGTTCTGGGGGCGCCCCGCTTCTGAAACGCGTCGCCGTTCAGAAACTCCTTCTGCTTTCGGACCTCCACCCCGATCACCTGGCCGGCGCGCGGAAAACCCGTTTTTCTTTCGCCTTAGTTCACCGTGCCCGTGGGCAAAATCCAATTCGCACCAGTTGGTAGATGATTTGCAGTATTTAAATCCGGTCTTGTCCAGGTGAAAAATGGATGTTGCCCATGGCCGAATGTCTAAAGTAACGGACACGGGGCTTGGCTTGGGTTCAAATCAAAACTTCAACTCCTCAAGGCAAAACCACAGGCGTAGGTGAATCATAGCAGTGATTCAGAAATGCAAACTGGTTCCAATAACTGAAACGTAGTCAGAATGAAAGCAACAAACCAAGTAGCCAGCCAGCCAGCCAGCAGCCAGCCAAACAGCCAGCGAGTAAGGCAACAAAACGAGGTTAACGATTTGGGTTACTTTCAGCTGATCTACCAAAAGTGAGCAATAATGTAGCCCGCAAAGATTGCGGGCGATTGACACTTACAACATGTGTTAAAGAAGAACGGTTGAAAGAATCTTGGCGAGCATCCTTTCTGTTCACGCTCCCTGCTTTTCAGAAACCAGCTTGGTTTGGCCCTGCCTTGTGTTGCACGATGCGTAATTTGAGAAAATGGTGACAGAAGCCACCTCTAGAATCTGTGGTCTGTTGCGCACCTTGGGCCAAACAAAAAATGCCCACAGAAAGGGGTTGTTGTTGTTGTTGTGGTTGTGGTTGGTGATGGTGGTGCAGGTGGTGGCTGGTGGCTGGTGGCTGGTGGCTGGTGGCTGGTGGCTGGTGGTGCCGGTGGTTGCGTTGGTGGTGCTGCCGCTTCTTCTGCTGCTACGACCAAACACCAGGCTCCCCGAAATCCAGGGCAGCTCACTTTTCCCAGCAAGCGATCTCATCTCTGGCGAAATCTGCGATTCGCTTCGCCATGTGCACGGGAAAACTCTTCAAAGGCCGAATGGACGAACCCCTATAGTCTACAATTCACGCCTATGACCCCCTAGCTTCTTGGCTGATTGACCAATATGGCTTAATGGGAAAGCAGTCGCCAAGGGTGCCCTGAGCCCAAATGGCAGTGGGTTCATCCATACAGTCGTTCGCCGTGCACCGAGGAAATTCTAGCCGAGCCGCGGTCAATACTCAATATGTGCTTCCCCAAGAGGACATGAACAGTGGTGAGTCTCGGCTTTGCCTGACACTTTAGTGAGTTCCCCATGCCCCGCCCAAATGGCCTGCAGACAAATCAAAAACCGCTTCACCGAACCTCAGCTAGGGCCGGTTCTACGAACAGTTTGCTGCTCCCGCCGAGTCAGACTGCGATCATCTCTGTCAGGCATACTGGATCTGGGCACATCTTTAGATCCACTTTCTCCTGCAAGCGAGGGTCTGAAGTCAAAGGCTGAATGAATGAACTCAAGTACGTGTGTATCAATATATTTGTATATTAGTCTTGTTACTTGCTGTTATGCTCATATGCATTATAGAAATATACAATGTAGAACCCCTGGTATGGACCTTGAAGGGAGGCTACAGTACGAGGGACCGATCCCTGCAAAAGCCTAGAATAAGCCCTAACAAGACCTGTTTCAGGATGTCCCCGCTCCGAAGAGCCCCCCCCCCCGTGGGTTCATGAATGTCATGAATGTATAAACCCCTTGCATGAGCAAATAGTTTGTCCGTGAATGCAGCATTAACGGCGACCAGCCAACAAGGGGCCCAAATGGACATGGACTCAGAAAGGACGCATTGCTAGCCTTCACCTACCCAGGGTTTGATAGAAGGATTCTTGCAAAATCCTGAATACTACCCCCCCCCGGAAAAAAAGGAAGCTGCTTTCTGTTGGCAAGGTTGAAAAGGTAAGCAAGTATCATTTGTCAGGAGCCTTGCACTACACCCAAGGAGCTCTGCGCTCAAATGCCATGAGGCGTTCAAGAAGATATGGGCTTGCTGTGTCAGAAATTCCCGATCGAAACCGTGATTGATTTACAGTGCCTTTGCTCCATTTCCTCAAACGGGGGGCATATTTGGCGGCTATCCTTTGATGTCTCTTTGAACTCACCCCAAAAGTCAAACATACACACCCTCAACAACGATACCCACAGAACATACAAAGAAAATAATACAACAAGAAACATAAAGAACAAAAACAAACATAGAAACAACAAAAAAAAGAAGGAAAAAACAAGAAAGAAAGCAAGAACGAAAGAAAGAAAAAAAGAAAGAACAAAACAAAAGAAATAAAGAAATAACGAAAGAAATAAACAAAGAAAGAAATAAGGACAGAACGACAGACAGCAACAAACAAACAAAGAAACGCAGAAACAAAGAAACACAGAAACAAAGAAACACATAAACAATGAAACACATAAACAAAGAAACAACACAAATAAACACAGAAACAATGAAACACAGAAACAAAGAAACAACAAGGGGAAACAGCGACAAACAAACAAACAAACAAACAAACAAACAAACAAACAAACGAAGGAACAAAGAAACAACAAGGGGAAACAGCGACAAACAAACAAACAAACAAACAAACAAACAAACAAACAAACAAACAAACAAACACACAAACAAACAACCAACCAAACAAACAAACAAAACAAAACAACACTAACAAAACAAAACAAAACAAACCAAACAAAACAAAACAAAACAAACAACAACAAGCAACCAAGCAAACAAACACCCGTCATTCACCTGAACGATCACTCCACCACCAAGCCCTTCGGCCAGGGCGCCGTGATAAAACCCGAGCAGATGTTCCCGGAAGAGGCTCCCACGGATATGATCCGAGGGCCCAGATCCGTGTTCAGCTCAAACTGGAAGAGGTCCTCTGAGGCACACCTCAGCACATTGGATAAGCGAAGGTGTGTTGCCAGGAAAGTAGGTCGTCAAAGGATTGGCCCGAAACAGGAGGAATTGGGTTGCCGCTAGAATGGTCTTCCCAAGCAGCATAAAGCCCAGAAACTGGTGCCGGAGTGGGCGAGCGAAAGGCCCTTTGGGCGCAAACTGATACCCACTTAGACAGTTGTCAGGGGGTTGGGGGCGGGGTGGAGGATTTTGTCGCTCTTCGCTCGTAAACAACTTAGCACAAAATGCTGAGGTAAGTCTTGCCAGCGCTGGCAAATGTTCTGGGTCAAAGGGGATTCTTCGGGCGGAGCTCAACGGCGCACTCCCACTATTCAAACAGGACAAACGGCGGCAAATGCCGGTACACGACAGCGTTTCCACCCTTGCCATTAGCAAACGAGGCCTCGTGCAACTATGGCTGGGTAAATTGTGAGAACTCACCTGTCGAACAACAGAGATCCCCTACAAAAGAAACATAAGCATCACGGGGTTGCAAGGTCGCATCCAAAATCCGGGTAAGCCAAAGTCAGAAACAGGGGAAACCCATACAGGATACACAAAATTACCTTGTACAGGCAGAAACCATTTGAAGCAGCTGACAAACACGTTTTCTGCTGGTTTCCTTTTGGTTGGACTCTGTTTGGTTTCCCTTCAAACCAACCTAAAAAAGGTACTCTTAAAAACAAACGCACCTTTTGAGGAACCTGCACGGGGGAAAGCAAAAGAACACCATCCAGCTAAAGTCCTCCAACTGCAAAGCCCTTCAGCTACTTGGTTTGTGGCTCTTCCCAAGGATGCTCTGGACTGGTTCAATGGACAATCTATGGTTTACTTGGGTAGAGGACAGCCACCCTTGCTGCTACTCGAGGTCACATATAACCTCATTCAATCTCTCTCGTGTCTGGATGGTTGGTTGTGACTAATACCCCCCTTGCCAGTGGAACCTACCCGAAGGTCTCTTAATAAGAAACGTGACCTTCCAGGCACATCCAGTCAACGCAGGTCGGAGAGGACAAGGTTACGCCAAGGACCCAATCGGCAAAAGGATCGAAATTCGGCTTCTGCAAAGATCGAGGGGGTAATATGCCAATTGTCTAGCCGAGCATCTTGTGAACATCTTGTTGTAGGCGTTTAGCCCTTATATAATAGGTATCAGGGCCAAGTCGTTACAAACATTCCCATGATGATGACTTTATACGAAAACAACAGTACACCACAACCCCGTTCAAATCATTTAGGCCCTTACACCAGCCACTCAAATCAAAGGAACATGAGCCCCTTCGGGACCTGAAGAAACGCCAACTTTCAGTGGCGTACGGTGGACAACCCTCTGTTTTACCGTAACTTACCGCGGTGTTGTGGTTGAGTACCGTACCTCTTAGTTCCCCCGCGCAGCTTCCAGTGGTTGCCCCGCCACTCTTTGATCCGAGGCGCGGATGCACCACTCGGCGGAAGGTCACCTGCACAGCATCTGGCCCCCAAAATCTGGCAGAAAGGACGTCGTAAGGCCGGGAAAAAGGCGTTCACCAATCCTTGGGGGGGTTCTTTCGGAGAGAAACTTGCCTGCACTTCTTCATACATGGGGGCGCCTGACGACTTGCGCAATGTTCATCCAATTTTCACCAACCTGAATTAGTGGATCCACAAAGCGACATACGTCATGATCTCAGTTTTCCCCGAGGTGAGCTCGCCAGAATCAGTGCTAAGATACCACAGCATGGGAAGAAACGCGCCATTTCCCCCCTGAAACATGATCAAAACCAACACACAGAACACCGACTGTCCTCGTGCTAACTTTCATCCTCGCAGTGAGCATCTGGCCGCTCAAAATGCTGAGAGGTGCAAAAGTTTATGCCTCCAGAAGCATCAGAAATTGGACCCAAGACAAAGACGGTTAGCTTTTGTGCTTCGGAGAGAACTGCTCCAAACTCGGAAATCAAAGTGTTTGTTGGCTAAGGGACAGTACAGCAAGCACAACTAGCGACTGCTCAATGCTTGTTGCTGCTGGCAGCTCAAAATGCTGGGAGATATTTGCTGCACACCCTGCTCCACATGCATCAGTGCTTACAAACTGGAGCCTGGATTTTGAGCAACTATGTAATCCTTTATCAAGAGAAAAGAGTAGCCCCCAAATGAAAGGAACCGTATCATAATGGCTGAAATCCCCTGTAGGTGAGGGTCAAACTTTTTCTCTGAGAAGGGCTTGAATAATTTGAACGCGGTTTCAGCAAAGGATCAAATGATAGACCATTCAGGGACCCTACAAGCAACACCCCCAAAGCTTCTTCCGGTCTTATTTGGTCCTATTTCACCGAGCCCTAGCTGTTTGGTGGTCTTTTGGGGGGTGGCCTTCAAGGTCCCGAGAACGCTCCCAATGTCTGTATGATCCACATGCGCCTGGGCAAATTCATGTGAAAGCTCAGATCAGTCTGTAAGTTGTTACACTTCCCAAACCTGCCAGGGATCCCCATGTAAGGATCTACGTCATGGGAAGCTCGGTTTGGTGAGCTCTCCATTAAAAAATATCGTGTGATTGATCGAGGTTCCAATTTCTGTGATTGGGTTCATGTGTCCCCATAGTCTTCTCAAACTATTCCCGACTCACAAACCTTATTGGATGACTTTGTCGAACGGACCAACAACTTGCGACGTGCCAAGTCTGCTTTTGGTTCAGCAATCGCCTGATGGTTTCCGTTTACGTGGGGCTGTGGGTTGATGGTTTACAAGCATCGCAAACCCCAGTCCGCGCAGTCCTTCCTTCCCTTGCCCAGAATTGGTCTTCCACCTCACCCAGTGCGAACCTGTTGGACGGATGCATCCATATAGCTTCGGATCCTGCCGAAGCTCGGGTTGGCAGCATGACTGGTGGAAGGTCCGATTTGGCGGTGTGCCGGTTGGCGGGGATATTCTTATGCTCCAAAACGTCAAACGGCTACTGGTCATACAAAGGGGCAACCACAAATTCACCAGTCTTGTGCCCCAGCCTGCCAAGAGTTCCTTTGGTGTTGCAGTTGTGTCGCTTGTATACGGGAGCCATTTACAACAGCGTTAATTTGATCAGGCGTGTGGCACCCGTATTGGCTCATGAAACTGCCAAACCAGTTTGCCCTGAAGCATTGTTGCACAGCAACCCTGGCAGAAAAATGACACCTTTTCGGATTCGTAACATTTTCAGTGCGTCCGAAACCCGCCAAACAAAACGGGATTTAGATGGAGGCGCGATTTGCTTTACCCAGCAATCATATAGCGCCACTGTTTTCTAGCCAAATTAATACTGTGGATGGACGAAATCCTGCACCACTTTTGAAACGATAGGAAACGATTGTTTGTTGGTATTTGCAGGGGAATCGCAATTCCAGGGTTTCTTAGGTGGTGCAGGATTTCGTCCATCCACAGTATGAGTCCCAAAGTGGAAAGAAGAAGAAACCAGTGTAACCGACTTTCATCTCGAGTCTGCTCGTCTTACCCCAGGTGAGCGTGTGTCACTGAAGAGTCCTGTGAGATCCCCACCAGCAACCTCATCAGTGAGCAACCTCACCAGCCCTGTCACCAGCAACCTCAAGGGTGGAAGATCCCAGGTGAGCTCCTGACGATTTGCCATTTGTCCAAACTTCAGGGGCTCGTTAGCTTGTGCTCAAAGGGAAACCGAACGAAAACCAACTCGGGGGGTGCCCAATCGACACCCCGTGTTGTTTCCCTCAAATGCCCTTGAAGAGAAGGGCTCGTATTTGGACCAGCAAGGAAGCAACATCATCTTCGGCGTGCTTAAGTCCCTTGGAAGGAAAAAAACATAATTTCCTGCAGTGATAAATTCAGTTTAAAAGCAACAGGGGACAAAAACAACATATTATTTGGCAAATGGAAGTCATGTGTGAGCAAGTTTACACCTTGACCGCGGATTAATCAACCTGGCGGAGTAACACGGAGTGTGTTGATCCCAAAAGCGATCCGGTTCCCCTTTAAAATGGTACGACCCCCTGAACAAGATTGACCAGGGATTCTGCTCAACTGGTTGCTAGTTTTACAACCGGATCCGCAAGCCCATTTTGGTTGAGTCCTCACCTTTACTTGCGCACTTGGAATGGGCTTGTGACACCTGCGTTCACCTGGGTCCTCCCATCAAAATACTGGGTAAATTTAGATGCTGAAACTTCTGGAGCAAACGATGGCGCTTTCTGGCAGATGATTGAGACCTCCATTTTGCTTGTTTGCTCATTGGGTAAAAGGGGCCCTTAAACCCAGCCACTGTTCATCAGCCTGTGAATCAACAAAAAAACCGCCCATGCAATCAACAAGTCAACCAACCAAACAAGCAATCAAGCAATCAAGCAATCAAGCAATCAAGCAATCAAGCAATCAAGCAAGCAGCCAACCAATGGTTGGCATCCAAGGCTGCAGTTTGCCCAGCAGTTCCAACCCACAGCCGGCCTTGCAAAGGACTTCTCAAAGGTCAGCCCGGAGACCGGGGGCCAAGCAGCCAGCACCGCGTCCTCCAAGCAACACGATCCAACGACTTCGAATGGACCCCTTGAAAAGGTTTTCTTTTTAAAAGAATCGTTCTGGGTCAGTCTTGCTAGATTTATTGGTCCCAAGTAAGGGGAACACCCTTATGGAGGGAACGTCCATCATGGCTGAGGTCGCAACATGGTTGACGAGGCAACCTGCTTGAAGTGCTCAACCCCTGCGTTGTGAGGTCGCGCTGACGTGCCCAGAAGCCTTGAAACCCTTGCACATATTTTTGCTCCAGGGTTGTCTGCGGAATCCTTCCCTCACTTGCCCAACCCAACGCAACAGAGCCGGGTACCCACTATTCTGGTAGTGGGATCCACTGGGCAAAGGACCTGGAATCGGCCCGAAAGGGTCCTGGTGTTTGGGGGTATGAGGAACATGATGGTTATCCGGTTGGTTTCCATGCAAAACGACCAAAAAAGAATGCCCTCGAACAGCACGCACCAGTTCACAATATGTCCAACATGTTCTTCCTAGAAGCATCAGGCTTGCCACCATGCCAATGACAGCCTAAAGTCCAGCATTCCAGTTTTGGGAAAACCACCACTGGAACGCAATGTCTGTTATTTATATATGCTTTCCGCAAGACATGCTATATATATATGTATATATTCTGGATGCGTCTTTGTTAGGGACCCTCTTCGTCGTCCCTAATAAAGAAGAGACAAGTGGTCCTTTTAGTTGTCCTTTCAAGCACAAAAGAATAATCTTCGAAAAAGGGTCACACCCACATAGAGATTTGGACCAGAGCTTGACAAGGCCATGCCAACCTGCAGCGTTTTTTTTTCTCCCAGGGCCACGCTCAAACAGGCAAGTCCCAAAATCCAAACCTCAGTGGCCGTCCTTCTCCAAATCCCCCGTCCACAAATCCGTTCCGGCGAAATCCCGCGACTTTTCCCACATGCCCCCAATTCCCCCCCCCCACCCCCACAGAAAAAAGAAGAAACAAAACAACAACGAGAGGCGCATCCCCCACTCCGCAGCGCTGCCGGCCACTCCGAGCGGCAAAGCGGAGCTGGTCCTCGGTGAAGGGTTCCTCGTGGCGGATGAGCTTCGCCGCCATCGTGCTGAGGTCCAGCTGGGCCTCCGGAAAATGTTGGCTCTCGGTAAAGGAAGCTGAAAAAGGACGCCACCGCCACCTTTTTCATGCCCGGCTTGCATGGGTCCTGGTGTTTGGGGGTATGAAGAAGATGATGGTTATCCGGTTGGTTTCCATTTAAAACAACCCTATACAACCCTAAAAGGTGCCCTCGAAAAGCACGCACCAGTTCCACAATATGTCCAGCATGTCCTTCCTAGAAACATCTGGTTTGCCTCCATGCCAAGCCGAAAGTCGAGCATTCCAGTTTTGGGAAAACACATACCCACGGAGGGTGCCTTTGGAGGCTTGGCTTTTTAGGGGTTTCAATGCAAACCAATCAGTTTCCCGATCGGTGGTTTGGATTGGTTTGGTGGTTAGGGAGTGGCTTCCCACGTATCCGCTACAAGAAGGGGTTTAAACAAAGGGTAACCTGAGAACTGGTCCCCGGTTCAACGCTTGGTTTCAATATGTTCATAGAAACCAGCTACAGGAATTTCAGGAGGAAACTATCCAAACAAGGATCCCCTGTCAAATTTCGAATTCCTGCTGTTTTTTTCTCCTCACTTGGGTGACCCATGGTTGGGTTCTAAAAATAGAGATCCCCGCTATGCTTGATTTCCTGTTTCCACCAAAAACAATCGCCTACCAAAAGTGGACAAATTTTGAGCACCCCCAGCCACTATAAGGGCTGAAATGATGAGGGATTCCCCTTAGTAGAACGGGCTACTAGTACTATTGGGGGGCGGGCCTTCGATCTTCTTCACTTTTGAATGGATTGAAAGAAATCGGCCGCGTCCGTGCGAGGCAGATCGACGGATCGATATGAGCCTGTTGGTTTGACCCGTCAGGGGGTCCCTGTGGGGTGCCAACAATCTAGCTCATATTAAGACACCTGAAAATGCACAATGATGTTCCAGAAGAGATCTCAGTTGCTATAGGGAATCTTGGTGGAGGGTGTGCCTTTGGGGGAACATGTTAAGCCACAACTATTGTTTGAGCAACCAGTCTTTTTGGTTTTCACTCTAACTTGTTGCTGGTTGAAAAGGAAAATGCAAGAAACCCGAAAAGCAACACTCTACCAAGGTAGGTACTCCTTTGCTACTCATCGCTACAGGGGAACAACTATTATAGGCTCCCCCCCCCCAAACCAAGAAGGGTTCTTGAACCCTCGTGACCAGTGCGGCCACTTCAACTGCAACAAGGTGAAAAGGGGAAATCTGGGTGAATTATAATTCTTAATGAGGCAGCCAAGTCTTCGTGTCTTCTTGAACAAAAGCAGCTACATTCAGACTCCTCCCAAAAGCCATCCGGTAGAAGGGTTCTACCCTAGCCGACCAAGCTGCTATTCTACTGCCGCCTCATGCTTGGCCTCTCGGCCATCTGCCTTCTGCTCGGGCTTGTTCATGGTTCATCTGTGGCCTCTTTTGGCACCTCAGCTGCCTTTACTGCTTGGATCTGCATAGATCAGGCCAAAATGGCTCATGTTCTTCAGGAGGTTTTTTCATGCGGCTTCCTGCCTGGTTGTCTCCGAACAGGTACTTCTGGTAATTGCCCTGTTCATTCAAGTCCTGAAGGACAGTGTCAATGCTGTCCCCCCGTCAGCTTGCACTCTGCTCTGGACAGGGCCGGCTAGACTGCTGTCCAGATTTCCGCTCCAGTGGCGATCCTGCCACGTAGGAATATTTGGTCTCCCGCCTTTGCAAGACTAGCCAGTCGCGACACCGGTCAGCTCTCAGGTGACTCGTTGTGCTTCACGCACTTCTGCCGCGGTGATGGCCTCTTCGCTCTGCCATGTCCTTCGGCATATGCTTGTCCCCGTCACCTCGGCGCATCTCCAAGCACCATCATGTCGTCCACATAGACCACCACAAGGCCGACATTGCCCGCCTTCTTCCTCTTGGTCTTTACCGCTTACCATGATCCTCCAAACATTCACCTTTTCCGTCGACTGCTCCACTAGCCTTCGTGCGATCTTGCGAACCTTGGCCTCTTCAATTCGCGTGATTCCCTTGACCATTTTCTGGTCAACAAGGTAGGCAACCTGTTCCATCTCCGCCAACAAAGGCTCCGCATGGGTCGGCACACCCGTCATGCTCCCAGCCGACACCAACTCATCTTTCACCGATAGCCTCGATACTGCCAAGCTGATCCTCTGGTGGGGTTGCAGGTGCTTCGCCCATCCACGTGCTTCGCCCATCCCACCATTCCGATGAGCTATTCGAGAGATCCGTCAGCCAGCCTTCTAAGGTCTATTGGCCCCGTCACCATAGCTCTTGAAGTTTAGGATGAACCTGCTCCACCTGTCCTTCATCCATCTCCCATCACCTGGCCACCTGCATGCCCTCCATCAGCTTCAGCATCATGTCCATGCCTTTCCGAAGCTGAGTCTTCATCTCCAGCATTGCCACCCTTGAGCTTTTCCAGCTCCCGCATGAGGTTCTCATTCTTCTTCTTGAGCTCATAGATCGCCGCCATCATCTCCGGGCCATCCATCTCTGCCTCAGCCCTCAGCGGCAAATGCTTTGGCCTGGTTGGTTCTCTGCGGCTGTGAATAAGTTCCCTCTTATTGAGGTACGCCTTGCGGCCCTCCAGGCCGAGCCCCCTTTGCCACTCCTCACCACCAGTTCTTGGCCAGGTGGTTGGGCTACCCCACATAAACCACCATTTGGGGTGAGGTCGTGTGAGAAGGAACGGGCAAAAAGGCAAACACCAAACAAGTCCCATGTCTGAATTAACATGTTCATGGAAAGGGTGCGTGGGGGGGGGGGGGCAGGCCCAAAAAAGCGGGCTCCCCCGTCCCTCCCTTTGGCCAGTAAAACCCTGAAAAGGGAAGCAACACCTGTTTCAGGTGTCACCGGAACTCCCAGACAAAAGTTGCAACTTACTGGTGTCCATTGAAATTGCAACTTCGGTAGTGTCCGAAAGGGCCATGGAGGAAACCATGTGTTTGGGCCCGGATTCAAGAATGGCTGCAAAAGCACCAATAGTTGCTTGGATGTGACGGACGTTCCCCAGCTGCTCTTGCACCTGGCTGCTGTCTCCACCGGTTGCAACAGCCCCAGATTGAGACCCTTAGTCGCTTGGATTCGCTGGACGTTCCTCACCTATTTGGCACCTGGCTGTTGTCGTCGCCGAATCCTGGACTACCCCAGGTCACAACAGCCACACAGTCAAGAATGGCCGTAACACCATCCTCGGTTGCTTGGATGCGCTCGTTCCTCAGCCTCTCGCACATGGCTGCTGTCTCCACAGTATTGAGGATGTCGCCAGGTCACAACAGCCCCAGATTCAAGAATGGCTGCAAAAGCAGCCAAAGTCGCCTGGATGTACTGGCCTTGCACCTTCTCCACCGCATTGAGGATCTCGCCAGGTCACAACAGCCCCAGATTCAAGAACAACCTCGCCCTATGGCCGTGCCAAGCAAACGCCCTGCTAGTGGCAGCCAGTTTGCCCAGCTGCGCAACCGCAAGCACCACGTCGCCATCTCGAAACCTGGCTTGTGGCAGTTAAATCGAGCTGCTGAAATGTCTTTGCGCTGCAGCCTTCAACTCCCTGATGGGCGTCGCCGGTGAGACTTCTCTGGAGCAACCATCTCCATTGGGCAGGTGAACATCCACCTTCATGGTGCAGGAAGTGTTGCCCGAGTATTTTCAAGTTGCTCAACATGAGCCTGAAAACACAAACATGCAGTCACATGTAGTTTGAGGTGGATCCCGTTTTGCATGGCTGTTGAAGGGATCCCCACCATTTTCGAGGCCTCAAACCAGCAGACGCGCTCTTGCGCAAAAACAACCTTTATGGGACTTGAACTGTGCCCGTGTGAGGACCTTCCCAGCCAGCTGTTGAACGGGCATTCTGTGACTGCAGTTTTCCGCTGAAGCCAGATCGACATCACCTGCGCCGATAACTGCGGATGCTCAACCTTCGCGGCAAGTCATGTCGACCCCAGCCTCGTCAACTTGGTGGATCTAATGGCGTGCTTGTTGTGGCCTTCAGCAATCTGGGAAAGCAGGAAAGACCGCCAGCCAAGAGCTCCGCTGCGTCGGCAGCATTCCGCGTTCCCAATCGACCGTGTGTCAAAGACGTGGCGACTTTGACACGCGCAGGGGGAGGAAGGGGGGGGTGGGGGGGTGAAGCGGTGGGGGTGGGTCCCGTGCTGGGGCAACTAACCCCTAAGGAGAAGAAAATTGTGGAGCAGCCTATGGCCCTGACTCTTTTTCAGGCAAGGTTCTGATGTCTGATGGGTTCAATTGCGCTGGAAGTCCGTGGTATATGGATTGTTGTTGTAGGTGCACGTGGAGCAAGCGCAGCAAGCTTTTCTTCTACGGCGAGTGCACTGCTTGCGCTCTAACTAGAAAGAAGGGCCTTGAGCCACAAATGCATGCGTGCCCAAACGATTGCCAAAAGGTCAATGTTCTGCACATCACAGAATAGGGGGGGTGCTTGCCGTTCTTGTCACATGTAAGCCATCCAATGACACCGCTGCTGGTCACACCTCGCCTCCCACCACGGCGCCAAGGCAGGCATCTTCATTCTCACGCAAACCCCTTGCTAACGTCAGCCACGCCAAGACCGAAGCCCTTATAAAGCTTCACTGTCGAGCAAGCACTACAGTCACACATCAGGTCAGCCGGGTGCTGACCGAAACATGAGCCCCATATTCCCAATCGCCCCCGTGGCAGCTTCCAACACAGAAAACAAACTGGCCACCTGTTCTGAATCAAAACCACGTCAAGCACAAAAGCGCTAAAAGGATCACAATCAAGTGGAAGATTAAGCAAGCTGCCCACGTATAGGGATTCACCAAAAACCAGTGTCTCAACACTTTGCAGCTGCACAGCTCACCACCCAAACGCAACAAAAGAATCTGGCACAATGAAAGCACAGCTGTGTGTGAAAGCCGCCTCATTCAAGCCAAAATGTCAAACGCTTGATGATCGAACGGTTAGTTGTGATGGCCTCCAAAAATGCCCTTGCTGAGCCCATGGATTCACGACTCGAACCTGCCCACCGAAAAATATGGCAAAACAAGCACCAAATGACACTTTTATCCTGCAGTGTGCCGGTCCAGCTGCTGTGACGCTTTATCAGTGGGATACCATTACATTTGACATTTTTGCTGGTTGAGTGGGCTGAGCCTATGCTGTTGTCCCCAAAATGATCCATTCAATAGTCCGACTGCCAGGGCCCAGCCTCGATGTTGGGTGTCGTGCGAATGCCGTCGATGAACACCACGCGCATGAAGCGAGCTTCGCCTCACATGGAACTTTGCAGTCCGTAGATCCCGCGCGGCCTCCCTTTTTGGTATGCGGTTCCTTGATGCCTGGCTGGGAACGCCGGGTAATTGAGTTTCGGGTGCCGCAAACAGATTAAATCTTTCTGGTGGATTCCGGATGTAGAGGATGGAATTCACCAAGCAGCTGGATGATGTTGTCTCCGGCTCTCTCAGGAGTGCAGTGAACATCCAAGCACTTTTGAGTATTTGGATGATTGTTCACTGGATAATGGTGAATACTGGCCTTGGCTCGCAAGCGACCAAGACCAAAAGCATTGTTGTTTTCGAACAACTGTCAAATTTTAATGTTGTGCCCAACTGACATTTGCAGAGTACCCCCCTAGTTAAAATGGGCACGTGAGAAGTAACCTCTATCTCCAAAGGCAGTTGGGGTGAGTTTTTGACTCCGACCCCAAAGAATCAGTTGGAGCGCGCGAAAAGTGGAATCCATTCGAGACGAAAAAGGGCTGATTTTGGTGCCGAATTGAGTTACACAACCCCTTGGACTGCAAAAGCCCGAGCCAAAACTTGGATGCTTCGTGGTGGGGAAGGTTGCAAACATCCCTCCGCTTTTTCGAAAACGAAGTACCCAGGTTGAAGAGTGTACATCATGTCTTTCTCAAAATATGGATCCCCGGGAAATTCAAAGTGGTAGGAATGCGAACTAGGGTCCCTTTGGTGAACATCACTTGCATGTGTATTTATGTATGCCACAGGCCGTTTTTGACAAGGGCCCCTGCAGAAAAAACATCCAGCCAAATGGGGTTGTCTCAAAACAAGGGGACCGCAAAATTGCCCGTCGTTCTCCTGGTTGGAGCCCCCAAATTGGATAGCTGTCCTTTGATTTCCCTTTCAGACAAACCTCAAAAGGTCCAATCATAAGCATACACGTGGCATGGACACTTCAAGCCTATTTCCAGCACCAACCCGCAACCAAAAAAAGCTGAGATTCAAAGGGGCTTCAAAAAGAACCAACGGTCTCACAAAGACCTTCCTTTTTGCGTTGGTCCCAGTTTTGAGAGCGGCCGTCAACTGCATCTTTGGCGCTGAGAGATGCCCCTAGGACAAAATCATTAAAACTAGGACAAAATTGCACACGCCAAAAGAATCTCGTTCACGGTTCACGGCAAACAACAAGTCATCACGGCAGTTTCACGCTGGCTTCGCGGTACTTTCAGTGTGCCCCAGCTTTCAGTAAGATTTCCCAGGACTACAGCAGCGAAGCTATTCTGGGACGCCAGGTCGAAGCCTAGCTTTGCAGAAATTGGCCGTTCGCGGCAAAGAATGATCAGTCAATGGTAAACAAAGGTCGACTGAAACCATGCTGTGTTTTCAAGAGCGATGACTCGCAAGGGAAAGTCGTTGCACAAAAACAAACTCTAAGCGTCTACCATATACCCCCCCCCCCCCCGCCAAAAAAAACAACACACACACACTCAAAAACGTGGTTGCGACCCCCCTTGCTGGTGGCGTCCTCCAAATCGTTTGTTTGGTGGGTTCGGGGCGTACAACATTTGCAACCACCTCCGCTTGGGGCACCGGGCGATTGTCAGTTTCAGTTTGGAGAATTGCCGCTTGTATCCATGGCACGGGTTCCCTCCAACCCCCCCCCCCCCCGAACAACCAAATCACCCTAATGGGAGGTGGTTCGCAAAAGAGATTGGTCTTTTCCCCAACATGTTGGCTCTTCTTCCGGTTAGATTAACCCCAAAACTTGCCCCTCCCTCAAAAAACAAACTTTCCTGTGGTGTCCATGTATAGAAATCAACTCCAGTAAGGATAACTACCCTTGGCAAAAGGACAAAAAGACGCATAGTCAAACAAATGGATGCAATGGCTTTCTTTCCCAAGCCGCTGAGCTCTGCCATGGTCTCAGTGTGCTTCTGCGCGCAGAACTGGTTTCGGCACGCCAAAGCTTCGATCCTCGGGCGTGATGAGAACGAAAGGGTCAACATATTTACAAACATAACCCGCCGACAGACGGAGTGTTGGACACAAGCAATACTCTGTACCTCTTACTCCTCCCCTTACCCCTCCCCTTGAATGTTACCCAAACGTTAAGAAGCCAGCTCCAGGAAACTCAAGTTCGCATACTCGAAATACCGTGGCGAAGTTGTAGGCTTTCCCGGAGCTTTGATCGAAATGTTCTGCTTTGGGACATAGTCGGCTCTGGATTTCACCAGCCCCAAGGGTACTCACCACAGGCAGCTAGATCCGCAAAACCGCGAGGTTGCTCCTCACCAACCCTAGCCCGGGCTAAGATGTTCACGTCGCGCAAAGAACCAAAGGCGCCCCCCCCCCCCCCCACCTAGCGAATGTAGAAGAATGGGGTTGTTGAACACCATTAAACCAGATTGAGGCATGATAATAGTCTTTATGAACCTAATTGATCAAACCAATCTAAGTCATGATCAAACTATGCCATTTGAGTAATGATTGCGCGCCTTACATTAGTTTCTCAAGAACCTTTCTGGGGGATTGGACCCCAATGGCTCACAATGCCTTGCTGGTGCTCGGAAACCTCCGCTTCTGCTTGCTTGGGCAAAGCAGGAATGGACTGCCTGAACGAACAGCTTATCTCACTTCCTGAGTGGATTGATCAAAACTAGCCCAGGCTCTTTGTTACCGCGAAAATGCTCTTCCCCCCAAAAGTTGCAAACTCAGACAAGCTATGGGTGTGAGTTTGCCATCGTCGTTTTTTGTTTTTTTTTTACGCGGCCAAGGCGCAAGGTGAAGTTCGCGCCGAACTTGGCGGTGACTTGAGAGGTCACGTTTTCCAGGGCATCCTCCAATGAAGCGCCCAGTGACCTGGGTTCTAATCAGGGGCCCTGAACATAGAAACACATCATGCCCTTTTCCAGCACCCCGAAGTTCGGCCCGAAGGACTGCCTTTTGGGTTGGAGGGCAATTTTCAAAAACCGCCCATCCCCTTTTGGTGTCCTTTGCGGGAATTTGAAAAAGCCCTCCCCTTTCAGTGTTGGAGGAAAATAAGGACGATATGGGGATGTCTTGCTTGAGGGTACTCCTTTTTGACTGTTTCAAAGGGAAACCAGAGACAAACGGGCCCATATTTTGGAGGTGTCCCTATCCTGAGATGCACTCATATCTTGCTTCCATCCCCTTTTCATTCAATTCAATGACTGCTGTTGAATGCGCCCAGTGACAAGGTGAACAAGCAGCTGAGGTACCACCGCATGGCTCAAAGCGAAGAAAAGGCACCGAAGTGTCAATGCGCGGAAACTCCGCCGAAGTCAAGCACCTTGTTGGTCCACGCTCCTCTGTTCTCAACAGGAGCCAGGAGCCAGCATGTCGAGAATTTGGGAGATCTGGTTTCAGAGGAATAAGCTTTTAGGGAAAGGCCCTCGCAACTGTCCGCTCTTGAGCCGAACGCTTCAGCCTCCGCTCTTGCGCCGATCCAAGGCCGATCACAGGTTTGCTGGTCCCCGAGGAACACGTATGGCGCAAATAATCTCACGAGATTTCGGGTCGGTCCAATCTGAAAGGATCAGGGTGGGGGAAGTCATCAAGGATCAAGGAATTTCAATTTGGACCCCCACCCTAGGATCTAGCATTTGCTTCCACTGACTTTCTGAGGCCGGTTCCGAACTGGTGGCCAGCGCCAAACGAACCGCGCTGCGCTGAACAAAACAAGGCCCCCCAACCGGCAAAGGGGGCGGTCCAAGCACTTTTGCGGGTCCCGAAATGCCAAACAAAGTTTGTGGTGGGACTTGCCCCTGAGCAAAAAGACAACGTTTTGCAAGTTCCATGAAAAACCCGCATAGCTTTTCAAGAGAAGAAAAGAGAGAATCCACAGACAATTCGCCAAAACACCTGGCAGAAACATGGGTGTTGGCTGATTTCCTGTAACATTTCCTGCACCTGGTTCATTGAGCCTCTGAAATCTATCTGGAAGTTTAAACTTCTGTGACCTCCCTCTGGCTATTTGGGCTTGGCGGTTTTGTTAGAATTTCATGTTGAACCAAATCGGTTTCTCCTTTTCTGATTCAACTTCGCCCAACCCCGCGTCGCCCGGAGTGAAACGCGCACCTTCCGTTCTACGATCTCGCCCTCCAGGGTCTTCGAGATGGCCTTGGCCTCCTGCAAAGGATCGGGTTTCGGTGGATTTCCATGAGAAAAAGGTGGCCAACGGCCGTTTTTTGCGCAGGATCCACAGTGGGCAAGGAACTTCACCAGGCGGTACTTGATGGAATCCCTTTTCTTGGCAGTTGACTTTGAAGGGGACAGGCCTCAAGAAAAGTAAAAAGGATTTGCACCCCTGGAAAGGGGGTTGTCCAACAATACCTCCCCTGTTTGGACAGCGGTGCCGATTTGCGCCGCCTTTTCAAAGTGGGTGCCAAAAAATCGGCATGTTTTGACACTCCAAAGGCAAATTGCAAAGGGCTGAGCGCTTCCCCCTAATAACAAATACGGCCCCCCTAATAATAAATATTGGCTTGGGGGAACCAATATATATATATATAGCAATCCATGGCCATCCTGGCACCAAAAAAGAACTGCAATCTGGCTGCTTATCTTCTGACTGCCACAAATCCCTCAACAAAAGGAAGAACAATAGAAACTCTATACCAAATCCTAGGAGTCTGATCCAAACATGAAAAAACGTCATTGTTTCAATGTGTTTTCCCTAGTGTGCTCAAAACCACTGTAAAAACCAGTGTTTTCAAACAAAGCCAGACTTGAATCCGAAAACGGAATCCGTTTTCGCTTTGCTGCCTTTCAAGCCTCAAAGAATCAGACATCTGCTGTCATATAGAAGGAAAAAAAAAACACTGTATTTTACAGTGTTTTCAGGCATCTGCAAGAAAGAGGCACACAGAGTAGAGTTGACACCTTCAACTAGAAGAGGGCAAAGGTAGGCCCTGGGGGGGGGTGACCGTATATATATATATATATATGTATATATATATTAACAGGGTGATTAGGGGTCGATTGGATTTCCTCTTCGGTCCTCGTCCAAATGGGCTCCCCCCTTTTCCCGGACAGGCAAACCGTCGAAATCGCAATTTCAGAGTATCAACTTTAAATAAAACCGTTCAAGGTTGTTCTGTTGTTTTCTGCGGTTCAAAACTACAAGGCAATTTTAAGTTTGAAACTACAGGTCATAAACAAGATTGATTGAATTAGTACCAGGTAAATCTGTATAGTTTTAAGAAATGTGCTGGAACCACCCTCATATGACTGGTGGCGGGATTGGCGGGACATCAGAAGGTTCAGTATTGGTTTAGGATTGGCCTATTCTAAAAGTAGTATTGGGGACTCGCGGTCTGGGAAACACATATTAATGCGCCGAGTTCAGTAGTACGGGGAATCGAGTACTATGCTAGGATTCCACCGTGCTTCTTTTCCAGCCAAAAAATCAAACCCATTCCCTTGGGATGTGCAAATGCAAACTATTCGCTTGTGGGAGTCCCTAGTCCCTTCAGAGTCTTGTTCCGATGCTGTCAGTTCGGGGTCAAAGTGAGATGGGAGGGTTTCCCTTTCCTTAAGTGGGATGACTTTGATGGTAAAACGCTGGGGCCTTGGTTGCATATTTTACAGAAACTGTCCGCCTGTTGTTTAACAAATACAACAAGTCAGACCCGTAACGAGTATGGTGGCTTTCAAAGGGCGCCTTGCAACACCTCGCCGGATTTGTGGCGGTCTGGTTGATTTCTTACGAATGCCGAGCCGCAGACAACAAATCCGGAGAAAGCTCCCTTCCATGGCAAAGGGTGATGCGTGAAACCACAAACAACATGAAATCTGGATTCGTCTCAAAAAATCAGGGACCACCAAACTGGTTAGGCAAATTTGTTGGTTGTTTCCCTTTGAAGGTTCTCTCAAAAAAGTACGCGCCCATACAGTTGCAACCCTCTGAGCAGCAAACTGGGCCCCAGGTGCCGGAATGGGACAATCGAATCTGGTATGGCATGGCTCTTGAGAATCACCCTTTCCGCGATACCAAAGTCAACCACCCCCAAGACTACTTTAGCAACTTCAAGATGGTTTCCCTTACACAGAGATATGCCCTACAACCAACTCCGCAACCACGAAGAGAAGTGAGAGTAGAACGGCAATGGAGCTGAACAAACACTTGCGAGTAAGCCTCGGGCAACATCAATGGCAACCCCACCCAAAGAGCCAAAAGTTGCATACTTGGGTACGTGCGGCATGTGTAAAGAAGGGGGAACACCAACAATTGCGGTCTTATTGTTCATTTCATTTCACTTTAAACCAAGCCTGAAAAGGGTGCCCATGCCAGAAAAACGCCTACCTTCCTCCCACTAGTTTTGTGAGAGGGTGCCTGGAAGGTCGATTTCCTCTTCAAGGGCCCCTCGGTCAGGTGCCGTGTTAGTGGGAGGGAGGCTACCCGCTGCTTTGTTGGCTCAAGGGACACAAGAGAGCGCGCGCGTCCTGTCGCAGCTTTTCCTCTTTCAGGTTCAGCTGCTCCTCCTGAACCTTCTGCGCCTTCAATGGCCACCCGAAATCCGACATCCCAATGCCGCTTTTCGACTGCACCGCTTTTTGTTCAGGTTGGTTTAAGAGCAAGCCAAAAGAATATCCACCACTGTTTGGGCTCCCCCGGTTTTGAAGCTTACTTTCTCCAATTTTGGTGGACCCTTTCTGATGATTTGAAAACGCAATTGAAGGAAAAATCCAATTTCTACCGTCAGGGTCACCGAACTAGTGATCCCTAAACTGGTTGCTTTCGTTTTGGCTTCATGAATAGGAAATGGCGATAGCCAGGAGAAACCCCCTGGGTAGAACAAGGTAACCCTCATCGGGGTTGGCCAACCGTAATATGCCAGGAAAGTCGGACCCAACGGCAACACTCTACCCTCCGGCCTAATCTAGGAGTTGGAAATACTGTGGATGGACGAAATCCTGCACCACTTTGAAACCATGGTTGAAACCATTGTTTATTGGTGTTTACAGCGGAATCACCATTCCAGGGTTTCTGAGGTGGTGCGAAATGGATTTCGCAACCATCCACAGTATGATCTGCTGTATATTGCGCCTGCCACTCGCTTGCCTATTAAAAAGAAGCAGAAGAAAAACGTCTATAAGCTGTGTGACTTGTTTTTTTTGGTTTCTGTTTTAACGGGAACCAAAAGGACAACGCTCATTTTTGGGTGTCCCCCAAAAAACTGCATTCAAACCCAAGTTTAAACACGTGTGTTACGCATTTCACTGTGTAAAGATCAGCTTCTTCAGGCTTCCTTTGACGTCCTGTTGGCCCCCGTGTGTACTCGGTCCTACTTCACAGGGGGCCAAAAACCCAAATGAGCAGGGACGCCCTAAGATATAATCAGGGGTCACCTGTCCAAGTGAAGCCTGATAAACGTCGGAGACCTCAGTTTACTCATGCCCAAAATACATTCCTGGTCACTGCAACGGTCTTCTTATAAAGTATACAGGGTACATTTCAGGAAGGACGTGACACAAGGGTGTATCAGTTCTTTGAGGGAACCCTTCTTGAAATTGGGTTAAAGGGGAACCAAGCGAACACCGCTCTTGTTTGGGGATGGCGCCCGCTTGTCCCGCCTTAAGGACCAGTTGATGTTGGCTTTGACATCGGTCGTCCAGGCCTCGGCTTGAAATCGCCGCGCAGGCCACCAGAAAATCAATCTGAGTAACTCGCACTAGCCATAGGTGTTGGGCCCCAACATGGTGACTGACTTTCCTCTTGGTGACCCTTTAGAACCACGCAAAAAAGAGAGAAGTATTCTGACAAAAAACACAAACCTATATATATATATACATATATATATATATAAGGTGTCCCAAAATGGGACCGTAGATGGTTCTGGTAGATACTGAAACAACCAGGTCAACCAGGAATCGCCATCTATTTTCTACCAACACAACATAAAGGACACCTATGGCACTAACATCATGAATTAAGAAACCAACCTTAAACGGCAAACATGTGAATCAACAGTGGGAAGCCTACTGTACCAAATGCGATTTCAAGGTCCTTATCGTTGCCAGGTACGTCTTGGCCAGGGGAAGCTACAGAAGACCCCAGGCCGATCAATGAGCGGCACAGCTCATGAGCCATATTCAAAACCTCTGTGGGGGGAGATGCCCATGTTTCTACCAGCAAAAATCGTGTCACAGCTGCACCCAGAACGCAAGCATGGATTGATGGTCGGCCAAATGACTAAGTGTTTGCACCCTGACGAGATCCGAAGTTCACACTTTGTCCGATCATGAAAGTGCTCAAAGGAAAGCGCCCACTGTCCACTTC